CGGTCATGTTTTCATGAGTTTTTCGAAAAAATGTCCGAGTTGGGTCTGAACCAAATTAATTTGACTCCGAATAAATTTGGTAAATGCTTAGATTTAGTATACGTTGATACCTCTTCAAAGTGTTCCGTAATTCAGAGTAATCCTCTTGTTCTACCAGGCGACTCGTATCATCCCGCTTTGGAAAATATCTGTCGAATTAATAGGCAATGTACGCGATAATAATTATCAAACTTCGTGCTTCCGTACTCGGTTCAACTTTGCAAAAGCTAATTTTAAAAAGTTAAATACAGAACTTTCTACAATAACATGGCCTAATTATAATGGTGATATTGAATTGAGCGTCTGTCATTTTAATAACATTATTACGAAATTATTTGAAAAGTATGTTCCAATAGTAATCTATATATCTAAAAATTAAACCGGTTTCCCGTTGTCACGCCATAACTTGAGAACGGCTAGACCGATTTCTTGCAGTTTTCTAATACTCTGCAGAAGGTTTTTACGGAAAAAATATTAAGAAAATGTCTCAGAAAGATTGAAAAAATAAATTTAATTTTGCATATTTTAAAAAATGCGCGTAACGAATGTCATCGCCATTCACAGCCATAGACTATATTGAAAGAGCATCGTTTGTTCGGAAATGTGGTTCTCTAATCAAATTCTATCGTACTAATTTACTAATTTTTGAAAATTACTCGCCACAATTAAATGTACCGACTTTGACGGTAATATTAATAATACCAGTGATGATTTCATTTTAACTTACATTAAAATTTAATAATAATAAAATATGTATACTATGAGTTAGATTTCAGAATAGAAGTTTGATTTCATATACTAACTGCAACCATATACGAAATGTCCTAAACTTCCAGCCAATTTCTGCACTATTGCACTATTGTACACGGACAAAATTAATTAGTTGCCCGTATTTTCCACATTGCATTTAAATCATAACTGGCTCGGTAATTGAGTTATATGGACAGAAAAATTAGTTTCAATAATAACATTTTAAATACTAAATTAAACTGCTTACTCATTATAATTTAATTATACCTTAGCCACAGCAAGGCGTGGCCGGGGTCTTCTAGTTGTTAATAAAAGTAAATGTATAAGTCCGTGGTTTTCGAAAGAGTTATATAAATTGAAAAACAGAAAAACTCGAGCCTTTAAACATTTAAAAAAAACCGTTTCACTTGTCGACTATTCTAAATATTCTGTATTGCGTCGACAATATTTTGACCTTAACAAAAAATGTTATAATAATTACTTAAATAAAGTAAAAAAAGAATAGTGTAAGTAATCCAAAATCGTTTTATGATTTCGTCAACTCCAAACGCAGGATTTCCAAAATTCCGTCCGCGATGAAATACAAATCTATCATTTCAAGTGACAATGACATTATATCCCATATGTTTGCAGAATTTTTCAAGTCAAACTACTGTAATAATTCTTCTACACCTTTTTCTTATCAGCACGTGCTGTGTTCGAATACTTTAATTAACGCTCCAATTATTTCTGAAGTAGACGTCCTACTTAATTTAAATAAGTTAAAACCATCTTTTAGTTACGGCCCAGACATAATACCCTCATGCTTATGGTGCCAAATATATTTACTTGCCTTTAACAAGGATATTTAATTCCTCTCTTAAACACGGTATATTTCCTTTGCATAAAAGTGGATTTAGATCCAACATTAAATACTAGAGGTAAAACTAAACTAACCTAAACTTTTTGAAGCTATCATCATTAACCATATAACCTTTTCGATTTCTCCGTTAATTTCCTCATCTCAGCATGGATTTCGTAAAGGGAAATCGACTCTAACAAACTTGCTTGAATTTGTAAACCATGTATCATTGGGTTTTAGGGAATATTAGCATACGGATGTTATATTATATACACAGACTTTAGCAAAGCTTTCGATAAAGTAAATCTCTCGATTCTCATACATAAACTTGATCTGCTGAGCTTTCAGCCAAGATTTCTTAAATGGGTAGCTTCTTATCTCTATCATAGAGCACAACGAGTGATATTTGAGGAGAGTATCAGATACAATTAATGTCTCTTCAGGTGTTCCGCAAGGTAGTCATATTGGCCCGATTCTGTTCTTGTTGTTTATAAACGATATCTCTTCAGTAATAGAATTCTCAAAACTTTTATTATACGCTGACGACGTAAAACTTTTAAATCATAGACTTCAACTGAGGAAAGGTGTCTGTTGCAAACAGAGTTAAACAGTATGGTTGCATGGTGTGATAGCAATGATTTGCCATTGAATCTGAATAAATGTAAGACGATGTGCTTTTCCCGTAGATCTGTGCAGCCCTTTTCTTATGTAATAAAACACCATATTCTGGAGCAAGTTTTTAACTAAGTTGATTTGGGAGTTAATATGGACCCTAAGCTTAATTTTAGTCTTCATATTGATACCATGGTCTTGAAAGCAAAAGCTGTCCTCAGTTTTGTTAAACGTTGGTCTAAAGAATTTGAAGATTCGTATATTACTAAAACACTTTATACAACTTTGGTTGGACTTATATTGGAATATGGCTCTATTGTATAGAACCCTAGTTACCAAATCCATTCTGACAAGTTAGAGTCTGTTCAAAAACAATTTTTACTTTTCGCCTTAGCGCATTTCCGATGGGATTCTAGGGTAAGTCTAACTCCATACACTAGTCGTTTAAAACTTATTAATCTACCTACACTTTCTAGTCAAATCTAGAATGGAATAGTTTGCAGTTCTTTTCTCCTGTCTGAAAGGAAATTTAATATCCCGGTTCGCTTTTTGAGGCAGCTTAGACCTTTACTGTTAAAATCCTGTAGATTAAATTTTGAACTAAACGAACCATTCCGCCGTATATGACATGATTTTAATTCTCATTCCAGCATGTGACTTATCTGACTCACTTTTCAAAATTAAAAATACTTTATTGTTTTTTTTCAATAAATTAAAACGTAACAATTTATTATATCGTAACTATAAATCTTAGCTGTTGAAATTTTTGTTTCTATAGCTGAGCAGTTGTAGATCTCAACACTTAAAAAACTCCCTTGCCTTTTCTGACTTGGCTAATTCCGCACGTATGCGGACTGCGCCCCTCGCGTCGGTCGGGCGGGAGGAGGGTAATCGTTGGGTTATGATACAATTCTATGTCTAGGAAGGCTACGAAAGTGTATTCTTAAGCTTTCAGAGATATTCAAACTCAGTTACCATTGAGCGTAGTGCTGTTTTTTCTTAGAATACGCATGTTGCGAAACTGCCATTTTTCTGGGTTTAAGTTTCCTCTTATGTCTACTTCTATTAGCCTTTCCAACGTTTTTAAAAGGAATGAGGAAAGACTAATTGGACTAGTATGTTATTATATAGCTTTGGGACTGGTGTAACTGAGCCAGGAATAAACCGTCGGATCCTGGCGATGTGAAGAGCTTGAAACTCTCTATCGCCCAATATAATATTGTACATTACTTGTTGAATCATAGGAATACGTTTTGTTAGCTTTTGCAAGTGCACCTGCCAGTTCGTTTTCCTATGATTTTTACCCTGCCTACATCCTCTTCAATTATACACTGAATGTATCGCTAATCCGAAAAGGAGTGTTCCTAAAGAACTCTCCATTGGGTTAACCTATTTATCAATTCTTTCGACATGAGTGTAATGTCTAATATCTCCTGGTTTCTTGTTAGAAATGCTGCAAAACAAAGTCCTAGTATCTGGTAAATATTAAAAGAGCCACTCACATCTTTTGTTGATGTTCGTACTACCCCATAATGTGTGGTGTAAATTGGAGTCACATCCAAGTATAGTCAAGCATCTGGATGCTTCGCTGTTCCGTACAAGCTCTTTCACCACCTGCATATAACAAGACACTAATCGGTCTTTATTACTGCCCGTCTCCCAGCTTACTGTTGTGGTGTCTTGATTACTATAGCTATATAACATGAAAACATTCAGTTTTTTTTATTAGCTATTATACATGTCGTAGCCTTACCTTCGCAGTTTGCCATGAATAAATTATAGCCCGGTGTCCTCAGTCCGCAAAAAACGCCCTACATTAACCCATGGCTCCTGAACGAGGACGAAGTCAGGCTGTTCTGCCGCTATGCTAGAGAAGCTAATTTTCTGTGATGGGAACCAAACATATTGTCTTATCTGCAGTGTTTTGAGTGTCGCTCAGAAGCTCTCTCTCAGTATATAATTTAGAGAGTCTGTCTGCAAGCTTAGACCCCGAAAAACACTCACCTTGCTCACTGCTTTCTAGTCACTCTAGTCTAGTGTCACTCGAGGACTCCATAAGATTTAGCTCGTTTTTACAAATCTCATTTTCCGATGCCGAGAGGTCTACTGCATCGGTGGTGACCTTCACCTTCGTGAACTCATAGTAAATCTCCCCACCATTTTTCGTCAGCGGTTCTATGGATTCTTTTGCTAACAACAACAAAATCTGCATTGTGTCCATTTCTTCTCCACGCCAGATTCCGTTGCGGACTCTTCGAAGACCCTGGTGAATCTCTTGTCCTCAGTTCTCAGGTTCGGGGTGCAGGGCAAAATCGAGCGTGGTATATTTTTATACTCTGAACAAGGTATTTTGAGTTTGCCACGATGATTGTAACACCCAGAAGTTAACGTCGGAGTCCCTGTAAAATATATACATACATATGTATGTAAAATGATACGTATGACGAGCTGAGAAGATTTAGGCATGTCCGTCTATCTGTATAACGCGATCTAGTTCCTCACTATTTGAGATATCGGTCTGAATTTTGCACACGTCCTTTTCTCCCCAAGAAGCTGCTTATTTGTAGAAACCGCCGATATTGGACAACTTTAACATATAGTTGCCATAGAGACTGACCAATTAAAATCAAGTTCTCGTAAGGAATATTTTTTATTTGTGAAGGGTATTCTAGTATCGGTGCAACCGAAGTTAACGTTTTTCTGCTTTGAAATTTTTTTATAACAAATAATCAATATTATCACTGTTTCATTCTTGCAGTTTTAAAGGACAGACTTGACTAAATATGGATTTGGTGTCGCAAAATCATCAATAAACGCTGAAAACGACAGCATGATAAGTGCAATAATAAATAACATTCGTTTACAACCGTTTTTGTATTTGATTTTGCACTTTTATTTAAATTTTATCCACTCCACATCCCAGAGCAGTTTGAACGGTGAGTATTTTACTCCATTTCTACACGACTAAAAGCCATACATATAAACATATATAAATTATTAAAATAAAGCTGTATAATATAATATATAATATGCTAAAAGAAAATAGCATTATATTCAAAACATTTAATTATCCATTGTCTTACAGGTTAGAAGCTTCTTTTTTAAGGCTTAAAATAGTAGGAATGTGCTATCATTTGTTCATGCTAGAAACCCTCCATCATTTTTAAATCTTGATGGAAATGATCAAGTAGAGTACTTTTATGCTCATAACTCACCGCTATTACCCACTGAGCTATGTTCGAAGGTTTTATATATAATTTCTCCTGCAGCCAGTAGTCGCCTCGCCGATTATTCAGCGAAGAGGCCTATAAGTGGTTGGTGTGGTTCTTAGAGCTGCCGTTATGCAGGGCACACGGGTTATGCCAAGCTTCTACCTACATGTATATAAGCCATTGCTGGTCTTTCGTACTCTTTCTTCTACATTGTGCTTCCACCACAGTTTGCTGTCCAAGACTCTACCTCAAGGTACTTGGCGCGGTCCTTGAGAAAGAGTTGTGTCCCATTTATCGAAGGGAATTCGAATTTTCTGGCAGATCCGTTTTCTCCGGAGTCAACCCCTGACCCGCTTGCGATGCCCAATTCTGGATTGAATTGAGAGTGGTGATCATAATACATATTCACGACAAATGTAATTTTTGGATTATTTACACAACGCATTCTTAAAGAGGGAATATGGATATTAAAATAAATTAACGGATTATAATGCCATTAACTTTTTTATTAGCCATTATACATGTTCTAGCCTAACTTTCGCAGTTTGCCATGTATAAATTATAGGCCTGGTTCCTGAATGAGAACGAATTCAAGCTGTTCTGCCGCTATGCGGTTAATTAGAGCTAGAGAAGCTAATTTGCTGTGATGGGAACCAAACTTAGATTAAGAAGTCGCTCAGAAGCTCTCTTTTAGTATATAATTTAGAGAGTCTGTTTGCAAGCTTAGACCCCAAAGAACACTCACCTTGCTCACTGCTTTCTAGTCATTCTAGTCTAGTGTCACTCGAGGACTCCATAAGATTTAGCTCGTTTTTACAAATCTCATTTTCCGATGCCAAGAGGCATACTGCATCGGTGGTGACCTTCACCTTCGTGAACTCATAGTAAATCTCTCCACCATCACGTCAGCGGTTCTATGGATTCTTTTGCTAACAACAACAAAATCTGCATTGTGTCCTTTTCGTCTCCACTCCAGATTCCGTTGCAGAGTCTTCGAAGACCTTGACGAATAGGATAGAGATCCCTCAGTTCTGAGGTTCGGGGTGCAGGGCGAAATCGGTCATGGTAAACTTTAGAGGATGCCCACGCTCATGTTAGTGCTTGGCGGGTGATAACGGAAGCCATAGTGTTCTTTAAGTGATGCAACGCATTTGAACCATCCCGCGCACAGACAAACCTTAGCTGGGTTAGCGAAAGCGGATTTTGTCAGCCATAGTGAAATTGTTTGTTTTTTGTTGATTGTTACGCAACTGATCATCCTGTGCAAGCGGTTGATGTCTCTAATTAAAGTGCATCTGTCCGTCTATATAAATCAGGTTTTCTAATTTTTTTCTCTATATATTCACGGCATGTAATAAAATGTTTTTGTATTATTTACACAACGCATTCTTAATGAGGGATTATCGATATTAAAATAAATACAGATTATTATGCCGTTAAGTAATATAATAGTAATTTTTGGGTTATTATCGATGTATATAAAGCTGAACGTTACTTCTGGATTTTAACAGCTTCGCACGACATCCTGTAGACTAATTACTCAAATTATAACATAGAATTAGCGGTACTAATGAAATTTTTCTTTTGTGAACCTAAGCTGTTGATTTCATAATGTGCCAACAAAAAAAATAATACTTTCAAATTATTCGAGAAAAATAAATATCACTTAACTAATTAAGTAAGATCCTTATGTATTAGAACAGAGTTCTAACGATTTGCTAGCACCAACTCGTCGAATATAAGAACTAACTTACCTTAAAGTGACTCGATGTAACTAATGTTTTCAATAAACTGTTTCCAGATTTCATAGCCATGGAGCGTCCATATTTTGATGATATTAGCCCACGAAACGTATCGACAGTAGCTGACGAACCCGCCATATTAAAATGCCGAGTTAAGAACAAAGGCAACCGTACGGTATGTGAATGAAACTTAATCAAATAAACACAAATTTTGTGAGCAATCTCATCCTTCCATCAAGCCAAAAAAAATTTATGCAATTATTTTGGGAACGGCAATCAATAATTTGAGTCGGTTGTTGTTCACTCCACTGCATTCTCGCAATGAAGCTCTTCGTTTGGAATAGTCTTAGATATTTAGTTAAGTTTACCAATCGTTTGTATAATTATTAATTTTTAAGGTTTCATGGATGCGCAAACGAGATCTTCATATTCTAACCACCAACATTTATACATACACTGGCGATCAGCGTTTTTCCGTCTTACATCCGCCAGGAAGTGATGATTGGGACTTGAAAATCGATTACGCACAACAAAGAGATAGCGGAATTTACGAATGTCAAGTAAATACAGAGCCGAAAATCAATTTGGCAGTGTCACTGGAAATAAATGGTAAGCAATTTTTGTCGTTTTTATAAAATATAATTTCTTGTATTGTGGCAATTTAAATTTTTCGTTGTCATATTACATATGTATGTGTCATCTCTATGATACCTTAAAATTTAGTATATACTGCGGATCTACAAGTATTTACATACGATTTAAAAATAACATCAATATATTTACTTTTCTAGATAAACTGTGAAAATTCATGTCTCAATCCAAATGAGCGGGAATAGTGTGTTTAAAAATAAAAATCGTTTTCTATAACTTTTGGAGTCATTTATAAATATAATATTACAAATTCTATGCCTTTTCCTCATCTGAAATGCGACTTAGAAATGTGTCTTCTCAGATTAAAGTGATTGCAAGATTGGTTAATGCAACAAAACTTCATTTAGTAGTTAAATGAAACACTCCGTTATAATCACTGTTTGCTGCCCAGCTTTTTTACTAATATCACATCCTTTAGATACAATATGCCTCCAATAAATTAACTTATCCGTTCTAACAGTTTTTATACCCTCACGACATGTTGAGCAAAGTATACTAAAATTGTATTCATCTACTGTTCACTACAACTGTTAGCATTCAAAATTATTCGGCATAGGTATGAAACATCAAAATCATCACACTGTATATTGTCCGTCCGTCAATCAGTTTACCCATATAAGCGATAACTTGAGTACAAATATAGATATCTTGATAGATCTTGCTACAGGTAGTCCTTGGCATTTTAACGAGGTTCGTATTGCGGATAGGTAAAGTCAGTCATTTCCGCGCAATGTAAAGTTAGATCAGTCTATTTACGGTACATGTGAATCGGTTAAAAACTGTACAATTGGTAAGCACCACCCAGCAAGTCCTGGATCAATTTGAATCAAATTTGTTGTATTGCATTTACGTGACATCCTTACTTTTGGCGAAATAAAAGGTGGTGGCATATTTGCATGGGCAAGTCATTCAAAAAGTTTAATACGAACTACTAAAGCTAAACACATTAAGAAAATATTATTTTACTTGGTGCAGCATACTTTAATTTAATGTCAAAAGTGGACGAAACTAGCTCAGTCTCAAAATATATATTTTCGACTTTCGGCATTTTTTTCGTGAACGATTTAAATACATAGAACGTATTCGTTTCATTCCATATTTCATTTTCGACCTTCGTACCATGTGTAAATTTTAATAAAATTAAGTTGACATTTTTGTTGAACACAATGTAGTATGACGTCTAACATGGAGGGGATTAGTTCAGATCTGGTTATAGCCCCCATATGTCCAAAATAATGGTTTTCGTCCTTCTAATTGATTGAAATTTGGAACTATTTCTCATTTCTGTAATTCTTACAAAGTGCGACAGTACAATTTTGTCATTTAATATTATTTGTTACTTTGGGGGGATAAGGCCAGAGTGTTTTGGTTCTTGCACCTGCGTTTGGTCTTTTATTGGCCCGGATTTTCATACTGCATCTTAATATAGGTCTTTAAATACTTATTTCCTAATAACTTTTTAGTTTTATTGAACCCATTAACACGATAGTTAATACGAATCGCTCTATAACTAAATAAATTAAATAATTTCTTAAGTAACACAATTGTTATTTTGCTCTTACATTTGCAGCGGAGGCCGATAATAGAGATAAGATATCCGAATCCCTATACTATGATGCAAAAGGTTAGATCTGCAGTCATTAATACTCGTAAACATATACATTTCACAATTTTGATACAAATACATTGTGTTCTAACTTTGATAAACAATGAATGCGTTTTATAAATGCATGCTAATCGGTAATGTGTCTAATAAAATGTAAACAATTCGGAAATTAAAATAATTTGATTTAATTTTAAGATTTCTATTTATATTTAAATTTAGATTTAAATACTAACCTGGTTGTTAGAGTCATTTGAGGTATTACATAAAACTAACAGAATAATTGCTGCGATTTAGTTTTTAAAACGTACCACGGAAATGCATAATTATTTTCTGGGATTGTTCATTGTACCTATTTAATTGACCATCATAAGGCTAGTATGATAAGTTCTCGTTTTCTTTGGGCATTTCTAAGGGTTAAGAATAATTTATTGTATATTTTTTTTTTGATAAAAACTGTGAGCGATTTATCGATGGTATAATATTAGATATTATATTATATTGTGACGATTACGGATCGTAGAAAAAAATCGAATCGGCGCTAAATTGTCAAAAGCAACTAGTTAGCGAATTCATAGTTGCCAGAATGTTCTAGAAGCAATGTTTTGTTAAAGAGTTACTATATAAGGGCTGCCGGATTGTGCAGCAAACACAGTTCTAGTTAGAGTGTTGTCGTGTTAAGAGCAATTGAGACAATCAAGAAGTGGTTAACTCGAATAATGAACAATAAGTGCTAAGTTGTTGGATTAGAAATAATGATAAGTGTAAAGCCATTAAATTGGGAATTTTATTTAACAATCCAGTGATCGAACTCAAGAGTGAGTTACAAGGTAGACGATTTATCGAGAAATCCGTTGCAATAGGATATGAATTTCCCATTAACCATATGCAGTTTAACGTTGCAATATTTATTTACTGGTTGTTGAATTTTTTTGCTTACATCTTTGACAAACATTTTGAAATATGGAGAGTAAATTATTCGACGTAATTGCTCTTACGTACAAAATGTATTTAGAAATCAAAACGTTTGTATTGACTTTTAACTATGCGAAAAATTCATTTGTAGACATTTAAAACAAAAGTTGAGGAATCAAGGAAATTTCAGTTGATACAACCAGAATTTCAGTGCGTAAATATAATATGAATATTTACCAGCGGTATGCCTTGGCCGTTTTTTATTTCAGAACAGCTATCAATATAATAAATGTGATAGTGACAAAAACAATTGTACATATACAATTGTAATAGAACTTTCAATCATGGGTCACAAATAAATACTTTAGATTACTGTTTGTCTGGCATTTTAACTCATTAATCACCGAGTTTTATTCATGCACGCGGCTCCAGTAATACGCATACAGATTTTCCAAGTGGCTAATTTCAATAGTTCTGAATGTTAAAAAAATCCTGATGATTTAAAAAAATTTACATTTTATTGACCTTTCATTAATTGATTTCATGTTTTCTACAATATAATGTTATTATATTTATCTCTTATTTCTTTCTTTAGCGGCGCGTGCGAAAATTCTCGGTTCAACAGAAATTCATGTAAAACGGGATAGTACAATCGCATTAGCTTGTTCCGTAAACATTCATGCATCTTCCGTGGCTTGGTAAGATAAATAACTTAAAAATTTTACAAATATCCTATACACAGATTAGAGATTGATATGTTCATAAGCTTTAACAACTAAGGAAGGGCTAAGTTCGGGTGTAACCAAACATTTCATACTCTTGCAAGGATCAAAGCCGGGGAAACACCTCCAGGTGTTGGCAAAATTTTATATTAAACTAGGGAAACTATCGCCGTAATTTCATCCATTTTAATACTCTGTTATTAAAAAGAGATTTTTTTTGAGTTTCATTAAGATTTCAAACATAGATTCATAGATGTGGCATAAAGTGAACCGGAAATTCGAAAATATTTATGTTAGATATATCGATTCTTTGTTGGTATAAGTTTTTACTCGATCTTGTTCATTTTAGGCACAAAGATACAGTGTTGTTAATATTATATTTGCGGATATATGCGGTATAAAGTCTGCCGGAAGTTCGAAAATCTTTCTTTTAAGTATATAGGGGGGCTCATTATTGATCCGATCCAATTTTGGTCACACAGACATACTATTATCAACAAAGGGTTTGCTCCGAATTTTAATTACATATCTCATAAATTGACTGATAGTTACGATGAAATGTTCGCTGTAGGAACTTGAATAGTTGTAATCCAACTTTGACAATTTTTGGCCATAAGAGCTTAGTTAAGGCGCACTATTCGTAAAGTAAATAGTAAGTTTTATTCGGTTACATTCATTGGTGTTTGATTTGTATACTGGAAAGTAAAATCAGATGGCAATTGTGTTATAGGTCATAAAATATGCGATGTCTCCTAAATGTGGGCGGGTCTGGCCCATTTATTTATTGATTTTGCGCGCTTTTAGTGGTTTTTAACAAACGAGGGCAGAGTTCTAATCCGATTTCATCAATTTTCACACTGTCGATAGGATTTGTCGTGAGCGAATTTGGACACAGACAGATTTCAATTCGTTTGGTCATCCTGATCATTTATATATATATAAACCTATATATGAGTATATCTCAATTAGTTTTATGTGATGAAAACAACCGTTAGGTGAACAAAACTATTATTCTCTGTAGCAACATTTTGCAAGAGTATAGCAAATGTAATGCTAAGATAAAATAAAACCCTGCTCGACACTTCTCTGCTCTCTTAAATATTTAAACAATAAACAATAATAGTTCCAGTCATTTGAAGTTTTAGAGACTTAAAGACGGTTTGATTTCATCGCGACTGCCTGTATAGATTATAATCGATAAGTTGAGTTGGAACTGATATATCTTGAAGATATTTAATGTATTTCTGTAGGAGATCATTTAAAAGCTGCCTTTATCATGTTTGCGAAAATCGTATCATAATCTTCTGATATATCAAATCATAACCTTAAATTTAGCCTTAACTCCAAGATGTTGTAAGATTGCACATCGCCGCATTATCGACTGTTCTTTAGTCTTATTTTTACAGACATAGTTTATACTTATGGTGACATTTGTGACAAAATCTGAAAGAAAATCGGTTAAAAAATTGTATATTATAAAATTAAAGAGTGGGTAAATTTAAAATTTTTTAATAATCACAACTAAATAGGTCAACAAGTACACTTAGTTTTTGGGCTCATCATATCGATGTCGTTTTCAAAATATTAATAAAAAATTTAATTTTAAAGATACTTAAGACTGACATTTTAGAACCCTATAAATAAAGTTTTCGTCGATTTTATTGCAAAAACACGGGCTTATATTTCAAATTTCTTGTTTGAAAAAAGATATTTTAAGTTCCATTTGTAATAGTGCTGTGAAAATTTGTATGTTGCGTTTGCTTTGCTAGTGATAAGCCTTATGTATCATTGTTGCCGAATTGTTTACCAATGAACGTGATGCTCTGTTATAAAAGTAAACGAAATCAGGGACCACCCAATGGTAGTTTCAAGTAGTTTGTTATATGCGGTTGAGTTTTGTGTTTAAGCTATGACTTTTATCACTTTAAAGATTGAAGGCTTTTTGTGGGCGTTGGAACGGGCTGATTGTGCCAATTTGCAGTGCCAACGAGTACGTGTACCAAGTCTCAGCAAGGTATTTCAATTTTTACTCTTACTTATCGCTTGTACGGAAGACGGTTAGGTTTAGCATTTTGCAAACAATTAGTAAAAAAAACTACTATAACTTGCACAACATGTTGCGAGAGTATAAAAATATATAAATTAGTGACAGTAGCCCATCAAGTTGGTGTGGGAGCACACTTTTCTTTCGTAGGAGCACACGTTTCGGTAAATTTTTTTAGTGTGTATGTCCAATTTAAGTCGTTTATCTGAAAGTATTTCTTTGTAATTTAGGTATCATGGCGCGTCGATTGTTGACTTTGATTCTCAACGTGGAGGAATCAGTTTAGAAACGGAAAAAACGGATGTAGGTACTACAAGCCGTTTAATGCTGACTCGAGCTTCGCTGCGTGACTCTGGCAACTATACTTGTGTACCAACCAGTGCAATACCAGCATCTGTAAGGGTTCATGTGCTCACGGGTAAAGTATATCTTTGAATAAGTATAAGTAATAAGTATAAAAATATTTTCATTTATTCCTTCCTGTTATTCATTTCCAGGTGAGCAACCCGCAGCTATGCAAACAAGTAGAACCAATATGGTCTTGCAAACACCCGTATATTTAACAATTGTCACTTTATGTATCATAACTATTGTATCTCGGTACCAAAACTCAATCATATCACAGACGGCTTCCAACTACGCCAACTGCAATATATGTCAACGAAGGTGACTGGACTCTTATCGACGAAGTCTTTTTAACAAATTGAATTCATTCATGAATTGAAAAGCATTCATGAATATTGATATAGGTAAATTTTGTATAATTGTGTAAATATTCGCAATAGGCGAGGGCCTAAACCTACTACATTTATTCAAATGGTATCAAATCCGGCTACGTGAATCGCAACATCACATCTAACTTATACGAGTATTTATGTATATGCAACTTAAAGTTAAAACTAAGAAGGAAAGCAATTTGGTATTCGCGGGCAAGAAAAAATATGGTCCGAATCTTTACAAATAGTGATTTTTGAAATTATACCCTGAACAGTTTGCCACGAAGTTTGTAACACCCAGAAACGTCGGTGACCCTATAAAAAATATACATATATAAATGATCACCACGATGAACTAAATCGATTTTGTCATGTCCGGCTGTCTGTACAGTGCGTTAAAAACATAACGTTTTGTTTATCAAAGTTTAGGTACCGTTCAACAATTTTGTAATTATTGGAAATACATAGTTTTATTGTAGCTGACGTTTATTCAAAACTTGCTCCAATCTCTCGCGTTGTATATGTTGACGTCTGGTTACTGCAAAGGCCAATTTAATGTAATAATATATATATTTTCTTGCTTCTATTGAGTAAAGACTCTGTCCTATGCTTCGGATCTTTGTTTTCTTGCAGTATCAAATCATGGTTATTTTGGCGTAAACAATTTCAGCTGACTTCAGTACACCATTGTTTATACACTTTTATTATTCTCACGGCATTTAGGTTTTCTGTGAAGCTCTTCAAGACTCCAGATCGATGAGCAGAGAAGCATCCACAAATATACAGCTTTTGGGAGTGATTAACCTTCCTTCGAATAAATGTTTGTCCTTTTCTTAGCGAAACACGCCTCAAATGGTTGAACAAATGTTGACGCATATCTTTATATATATAAATCTTCTGTACGTGTGTTTGTAATTGAACTCCTTCTAAACGGTCGGATCGATTCTAATACAATTTTTGAGTGATTTAAGGGGGTTCGAGAATGGTTGAGATTCACAACTCGAGCAACTAGATAATGTTTTAACAATGAATTTTTTATAAATTGTTGTTGATGTTAGAACGTATTACATTATTATTGCGCTGCAGTCGTGTCAGATATTCTAAAGTATATTTAAGTTTACGATATTACATAGCTATAAATTTCAAAATACAACAGTCACTGCCTGGTAATGAATGTACATTCAAATCAATTCACACTGTTGTCGATCCGAATGAAATTGTAAACTATGCTGTAGAATTTTTGAATTCATTAGATTTACCTGGAATTCCATCACATAACTTGCGATTAAAGATTGGCTCACCTATAATTTTGCTTCGAAATTTGAATACGCCGAAATTGTGTAATAGCACGCGATTAATCATAAAATAAACAAGAGAAAACGTTATCTTCGGCTGCGCCGAAGCTATAATACCCTTCACAGGTGCATTTCTTTTAGTAACCACTATATGTATGACTACATTTGAAAACGTGACTTGCCAACGGTTTGCATCCAACGGAAAGCATTTTGCCAGTTCTTTCTAGCCAGGTTCTTTGCTATAAACAATCTTCTATTCGAATTAAGGTTAGTTATTGAGGTAAATAGATCTTTCAGACATTTACATAAATTTTAATTTTTTAAGCTGATTGATTATTCACATTAAATTAATGGAAAACAAAACAAATTATAGTATTTATAGAAATTAGGAAATATTATATATAACATATAATAATATTTATTATTCTATAATACTTTTTTATATGATATATAAATTACAATAATTACATCTATGATTTACACTTTATATTATAATACAAACTTAAATTATAATATTGAATCTAACATATATCTATATATATAATATATCTATTTTCTAAAGCTTAAAATATTCCGTCATGGTCACTATATGGTGTTTCATATGTGATACATGAGTCATTGCAGAATCCATGTTTGTCCATACCATCTATTGCTGTTTCCTGTTTTGTTTGTGGCGACCTTAGCCAATGAAGATTGAAATCCTAACTGTTGCAATCGAGCCTCCAAATCATCAGTTGCTGTTAGGCGACATATGTTAAGTCACCAAGGACTACTGACGGTCCATTATACTGTTCAGTTATCTGACGGATATTATTTCCACTGGTTTCTAAATTTCGGAAGTCTATAGCGGGGTTCCTGTACACAGTGATATGGAAACTGTTGAATTGTTTACGTTTAACAGTTGGTAAACGTTTGTTGAACCGGTGTCGTTTCTTGAAAATGATCCTTCTGATAGACCTGGGCACCTATCTTGCTTGTAGTATTATAAGGCCGTTGACAGGGCGTCGTCGGGATGATCTTGTTCTCCATCAAGGCGTGCAATAACACTGTAGCCTTCTATTGGAATTCTTCTTGAGGTAAGGCCCATGTCTCGGCAAGCACAGAATATCAGCAGAACAAATCGCTTGTCTGATCTGATATCTTCAATATGCTTGTTAGGCTCCTTACATTTTGATAATAAATATCTAGACGTTGTTCCGATTTTTCAGTCAAAATCTGTAGCATGTCGTCAATGCTCCTTCTGTCTTCAACCTATTAAGTTGAGTTTTAATTGATCCTGCGGTCCAAATGGGTTGGGGAGAAAATGTCCGATTATATACAATCCATAGGCACTTGTGCTCTGCTACATCCTACATAAAAGCTGATCTCTTACTCTACCCTCTAGACAGAAACTTGTGTGTATCTTCACCTTGACTTTTATGTATCGTGATGGCTTCAGCTGGAATGACAGAAACTGTCTAAGTTCTATGGTTATTTGCTCATTTCTCTTGTATTGGAATATCGGAACACGCTCATGATTGGTGTCCAATCTGCATTGCGACTGTGAGGGTGTGGAACGTGCAAAGCTTCCAACTCTTGATTCTGCGAATTTTATCCATAGTCGCACCACTAAACTTTCAGATCTATGTGATTCGAATCAACCTCATTAATTCCCCGTACACGCATTGACGAGACCATCACTTTGCTTATGTTGACTGTCACCATATTTTGATCGAAGTCTTGAGCTGCAATGTATAAGCATTTCTGTGTTTCCGATGGCTTAAAAGACTTCACATGTTTAAAATGTTGCCTGCTGCGTTCTGTTAGGGAACTTGACTTAAGTATCCTTCGCAGTCGAAATGAACTTCGGTCATCGTGTTTGCCAGTTTATGTTTAAATTTAAATCATTTGCTCCAGCATTTGAATAATAGATGGATGGCTTCGTTCGGTATCTCATTAGAGGTCTTTTCCCTGCTTTTGATTAATTGGATGTCAGCGTGTCATATTTCCCTTGACATGTTATTTAAAGCGATGGCAAATGTTTGATCTTCAACCTGGCCATTATTTCGTGAGCTCAAAGTACCGAATTGATCCCAAGCGGTGTTCTAATTGTAACTAATGATCATTCCTTCGGCGCAAATATCCATCGATCTCCTACTGGCGGCAGCTGCTTTAAGCACAAACACGATAATTGGTATGCCTCAAAGTAAGCGGTGCTCCTGAAAATTTGCTTTAGCCTGCATTTAAATATGCAAACATCTTTGCTCCAACCATTGAATTTCGTCAATTATAATAAGCCTATCTATGAATTGGCATGAATTGTGTTTATGTGTCAATTTAGTGGCGAAGATCACCGGAAGACTGGTTGACGGGGAATGAAAAACGAATGAAGATTAGCCCCCAATTGCAAATGCTCTGCTTTGCCAGTGGGTGCGCAGAGTAACACTTCGGCTGTTTCGGGTGGTTCCTGGTACACTATTAGCTCGCAATGTCAACGATTGATATATAGTTGTTATAAGCCGACTCTTGCCACTCCAGCACCGCCTCCGACATATTGAAGAAGATTTCCCTTTACGTACATTGTGCATTACATGAGCAAAGTATTCCCTCTGTTGGCTGTTAAGTGACTGACCATTGCCAGTAAATGGTCTTCTAATATTAGAAGGTGGGAGTTAAATTAATCGAACCGCCTCTTCCTC